ATAATAGTATAATATATATATATATATATATATATTATATATATATATATATATATATATGTATATATATTATATATATATATATAGCATATATATATATATATATATATATTATATATATTATATATATATAATATTATATATATATATATATATATATATATAATATATATATATATATATATATATATATATATATATATATATATATATATATATTTCTAATGATATTTTCCTTCTCAAAATCTTGTATTTGTCTGCGTGCATAATACATATAAACCATAACTCTCTCTCCAGTTAATCTATCCATCTCTTCTTTCACTTATTAATCACCCTATCGAACCTATCAGGCACCCATCAACTGCAACCATTAACCATCCACTCAGATTCGTGTCTCTCATCACTGAACACATCATCATCCAATCCCTTACACCCAAGATCACTACTTACGCCCATCCTCGGCCATTGAAATCTCCCCGCTTCGCCACCAGGTCCGAAGAGCGCGCCTTGGGTTCCCCTGCAGCGCCCCTGGCGACACAGCCGCCAAGTACGAGAGCCGCTGGGAGAAGAGCCGCCTTCCGTAACTCTGCCAGACGGGAGGCAGCAAACACGTTTTGGAATTCGTTTGGAGAGAGAGGTTTAATTGCAGGTAAAGAAGGGGGATAGACACATTTTACTCATCTTCAGTATTGCTGGATAGAACGTAATCTGCTCGTAAAATATGTCTGTAAAAACACATGCACATACATAAACACACTCGCAAACATATGTTTACACATATATAATGTATAGGCACACACACACACATATATGTAAACACACACATATACATATTTTGTATGTATATGCATACACTCGTTTATGCATATATACATATATCCAAACATATACATTGTATACACAGTATATATATATACTTAAGTATATACATATGTGTTTGCATGTGCTTGTGTACATAAACGTTAAGCAGCTGTGAGATAAACATCTGCAGAAACCAAATGACGCTTGCAGTAAAAAAATAAATAAATAAAAAAATAAAAATGATAAATAAAAACAGCCCTATGAATGAACTGTGTGTTTCCTCTTGTATTGAAAGTAGGTATGTGATATTTTGTATATATGATATTTAAAGCCACCGATTGTATTACTAAGATATATGTATTTAATTATTTATTCAAATAAAGTTATATTCACATGCACGGCATATAATAAACCAAGTGTTTCTTTTATGAGAACGACAAAAGACTATTGCTAGATGTAGGCATGAATATTCGTAAATGATAAACACACACACACACATACACACATCTATCTATATATATTTACACACACACACACACACACACACACACATACATACACACATACACATAAATACATGTATATATCTATACCTATATCAATATAAATATTTGTATGTATATGTCTGAATAATTATATAGTATAATAATAAACGTAATTAGATATATATATATATAGAGTATATGTATACTATATAATATATATATATACAACAATGTACATGCATACCATATATATGGTTATGTGTATAATAATAATAGAATGAATATATATAATAGAGTGATACTATATATAGATAAGTTATAGTATATATATATATAGTTTAATAGATATTAATTCATAGTGTATATATACATTAAATATAATATAATAATCATAACATAAGGAAATAAGTAAGTATATATAGAAGTAACGTAAGCTGATACAGTATAGTGAATTCATATAAAAATTGAGATATATATATAAATATAATAATAAGAAAGGTATATAATAGGTATATATATTAAAATATATATACTGTGTTGCGCTGAGTGGTGTGTGTGTGGTGATGTGTGTGTGTGTGTGTAGGTATAATAAAAAGACACACAACACACAAGAGCAGCAGCGCACACACAACACACCACAACACCACAATAACTAATATATATAACAAAGGAATATACAGTATGAGGGTAAGTATGTAGAGGTAATAGATAAATTATAATAGAATAAAGAAAGTAAAGATAATAAATATATACATTGTGTAAATAACACAATTACTCCATATTGCTTACATACTCGCCACACCGTTCCAGAAGCGGAACGGTGCATTGTTCCAAATGAAACCTCAATTTAGCTATTTGCCATAAAAGTCAGGAGGACTTTTTTGACACTAATTACACAGGGTGAAACTTCGGCCCATCACTGTGATCCAGAAACTAAGATCAATCAAAACAGTCAAAGCACCCTGATTCACCAACCCCCAGAAAGGGACGTGTCACACCCTCGGCAGGGAAGGTCGTGGTGGAAGCAGCATGAAATTTTTCTGCAAAAGCCACAAACAATTATGCTTCACTGCCACATAAATTTCGGGAGGCGATTAAATCAAGAATTGTGAAAATGTTGACAAAGGTGTCTGCCTCCTACACGACAACACTCCTGTTCACAACTCTCACCTTGGCCAGATTTAAGCGCAGCCAATATGGCTATGCACATCTTTTTCTTCGCTCTTTGATATGCTTTTGACCTTCTGCACCATCTAGAGAGTTTACAACGCTTCTTACCTTGCACCAAATGAAGTATAATAGTTGAAAGGGCAAACAGGTTCTCAAAGTAATGAGGGCACTCATTCTGAAGCAATCGTTCATAGGCTCGCTCAGAGCGCAAACTTGCGCGACTTCTACCAAGCGGACGGGCAGTCAAGCATACATCAACTTTTGATTGTAGTGATATGCCCCAGAGTAGTTTAGCAGGGCCTTGACTGCTGAGACTGTATTGATGAGAAGTAAAAAGAGGTAATTGTAAACTGTAGCACAGTATGAAAATAATGGATAAACACAATATTGATTGTAGAGAGATGATAAATTTTCAAAATCCTAATGGATGTCCCTTCCATTTGGATACCCGGGGCCGTCGTCCCTTCACCCCCCCCCCATCTGCTGGCCACTGCATGCGTGTGTATTTCTCTGTGCATCTATATCTGTGGCCTTTTCTTTCCGTGGACATAATCTCTCTATCTCTGTAATTCAAGATGTACGCATGCGTATATGAATCCTTATATCTAAATATGCATTTATGTATGGAAATCTATGCCGAGACAAATTTTACACAAAGACAGGGACAGACAGAAGGACAGAGAGAGAAAAGAAAAGAGTAATAAGAACTAAAAACAGAATTCCAAATAACTGTTTCCTCTCGTTCTCTCACCCTCCCCCCACCCAACCACCACCCATCAAAAAGAGAGAGAGAAAAAAAAACATTGCTTGCTATGACACACTCACGATGTGAACGAACCACGGATGTGAACGAACACACTCAGGAGATCTTGATAACGAACACTCACTACGGATTTCTAGCATCCCTGCACCTGTTCTAGATCCTCCTTCGGGATTCCGCTGCAATTGAGGGCAAATAAATGTGAACACGAGACGACCCCACTCCCCGAACCCACGCACCACAACTCCCCACCACACACGCCATCTGTGCGATCTTCTCTGCTGGGTTCACACA